ATATGTCAAAGTGTGATAAGACATCTCCCCCCAAACGGTTACCAGTTACTGCAATCATTAAAATTTTCTTCTTTTTTTTTTTTAGAATTTATTTTTGGAAAATAAAAGCTGATGCTTCGTAGTGTTCCGAAATCAAGGTGATCCTAAATCCTGAAAATGTTCGGAGCCATCAGGTAACCACTGGAAGAAATTACATTATTAGAAAGTAAGTAATTGGGTTCGGAGTCGATTCCAACGATTCCTAGCTTCCAATAATTGGGAACCTAGCCGCCCAGCACTAACCACCAGTAGGTCCTTTTCTTTTCTTTCCATAATATTATGTTGTTTCTTTCAATGTTTCTTGCTTCTTCTCTGCACTAATATAACAGTTATGCTTCTCTTTACTCAAGCTCAAACTGAGATGGCCTTATGAACAGGCGCCGCTTGGGTTCTCGTGTCTCACAAGAATCATTCTTAGATTCATTTTGTTGTTTTCGTCGAAACTGTTCCTTTCCGGTTCAGGGACGTTTCACTCTTTGTTCAAGATGACCATGCTCACTTGGACACCCCTACGGGCATCTTGTGAATGTTCGGCTGGCTATGTGGGTCGAACAAAAGCGTGGCTCCTATGACAACAGACCCTACACCCCCCATACATTTCTTGAGAGCTCAAGGAAATTGTTGGGACTTTTTCTTTGGTTCTTTCCGCGAGGTCCATGAAAAGCTGGTCGCTGATTCGAGGCCATGGACTGTTAAGTTCTATTAACTCGTACTGTGTTAACGAGTTCTGTCCTTGGACAGGGTTTCTTCTTCATTCAGTTATATCTTTTCATGAGGTACCTGCTACTGTAATGGGCGAAAACGCTTTTTATCGTTTCCAGAGATGGACAGTCTGTTATGCTTGGAAATACTGTTACAGAGAGGGCCTTAGAAACAAGTTTGGAAAAAAAATGTTGTACAGTAAAGGCTGAAACAGCACCTAAACATAGGTTACCATATATCCTATCCCAATAACGGAGCGGTTTGGGCACTTACCCGTCGCGTGCAGGAGCCCTGAGTTCGATTCCCGGGTGGGGAGATATTTTATCAAGTTTCTGCTGTAATGCTGTGTTCCTCTCTGCCCGGACTGGCCCTGATAAGCCCACTTCCCCAATTGATCGTAATTATTGTGTCGATGGTAGCGTAAATGCATTTGCATTTAAATTAATTTCCCCACGAGCATAGGTAAATGTTTATTTTAAATTTGCAGACCAGGATGTCGCTGTTCTACAGCTTTCCAGTAAACAAACGCAGCATTGTATTCGCTGACGGCACTGATTGTGTTTTACGTCGCGGCATTAGATTTAAGAGAAGAGTTGCAAGATATGTGTCCACATCTACTTGACATACATGACAAGCCGGGCCTCGGTTGTTTTGGAATTGGTGTCTGTTCAAACCGTTGAAATCCTGAATGGCTTGGGTTCGATAGTTGTTTTCATCTATGATGCCACGGGCTTTCTGAGTAATTTTGGAGGTGGGTTTCACCTTTATTCGATGGCCAATCGTTGTTGTAGTTGTTACTCGTAGCTGCTCGATTCGCGGACAGTCATGCTCGGTCAGGTCCTGTTGAATTATTTACCAGTTCCCTTCGCAGATGAATGATTTTATGGGATCTTTGAAACATCGTAACACCTTGTTGTACGTGTGACGTGCACTTCCAGTGCCCGTTATTTTAAAGGCGCAGTCATAGTATTGTTTCTTTATAGAACCAAAAAAAATTGATTTGTTTGAGTCTACGTACTCTTTTGGTCCTTTCATCTCGGGAATGCTTAAGAAAAATAGCACGCTATCGATCTCCAAAACAATAAAGACCTACAACAGACATTACAATTGTGTGTGTGTGTGTGGGTGTGTGTG